CCGCCGGCACGTTCTCTCAACCACAGGTTCGCATTGTTTATTATTCATGGGAACACATGTGTGTCACTGCAAGATTTCATTTTTAAAAAAATGAAGATCTAATGATAACGTTTGAGTAATAAATATCTGTCAAAAGTTTCTAATAAGTATTTCAATCGGATCACCCTGAATGAGTCCCAAAACTGCCATGTATCGGCGAATGGTCATTATTTTTGCTTGTCGAATGCTGTGATGTAGGGGTCGCCTGGTACCCAACAGCCCTACATGCAGTGGTTGTACTATTATAGTAGGTAGCCTATATGAACTCATCAATTTGCTCTGTAGTTTACGAACATAGATTTGTATAGTCTCCCTGCCTATTAGTAGAGTTGAAGTGGCCGACTTCTCCACCCGGCCGACATCTCCGACAGGCCGACTTGGCGACTGGCCGACTTCTCCTACAGGCCGACTTGGCGATTGGCCGACTTCTCTCGTATTCAACTCTTTAGAAAAAAATGTTTTGAAATAATGGACTGCTTGTGTTTATTTTCTCCCAAATCCAAAATTTGAAAAAATGCTTTGTATGTATGCAGACTGTCAATATACATGTATAATGATGTTCATGTATAAATTAAAACTATGGATATGGATAGATGCGAGTAAATGATGCATCAAAACTTGAATGAAAGTGTTACATTTCTGTTGGTTTGTAGAGAAGTGAATACATATATTTTTAAGCTGAAGTTTCCAGATAGAGTGGGACGGGAGGACATGTACATGGTCTCGCCATCATTGGGTTTTTACCATGTACAGTGTTTGTATTGTCATATAAATAAAAACATGACATTGGATGGTCAAAGTTATGTGAAACTTCCTATCATAATCAACATCCTGCCTTCTATATGATTGTGCTTATAAATTTTTCTAAATATGTGATAACAGTTGGGGCTTTAAGAGCTGATTGTTGTAATCGCCATAAATTTACCAAGTTTGTGCAGCCCTGGGTTTGTTTGTTTTATTAATGCCTTCTGTATTTTTAGCCATTTTTTGACAGGAATTGGTTTTAAAATACAATGCAAATGTAAGATTCTGCCGTCAGATTTTACCACACATATAAATGGAATACACCCTCTGGTTTAATATAACACAACAGTTTTTTAGCTGACTATCACTCACGAAAAATTTGCTCAGGTTTGGTCATTTTAGAACAATAGTTACAATTATTTACAATTATTTTTTTCTTTCGAACAGCACCTTTGATTTAACTGAGCAAATCGGTGAACCATAGACTTCAATTTGTTTCAAATAAACTGTCACCATTTATTATTGTTTTCACTTTGCTGCCAACATTGTGTAAATTACTGGCCTTGTTTACTGAAAATATGTTGATGACTCTGCGATCATTGAAATGCTGTTTTTGCTATAACAGCTCAACTCTTGACAAATTTCTTGATTTTTAAGAAAAAAATGTTTTTAATTGCTCATTGCTTTGTTCTTTTATGTTTTACGTAAACTTAGGGGACGAGGTAGGGGCCGTGGTGCTGGCATGGTACAAACAAAAACTCCAGTTTTAAATCTGCAATCTAATCGAGGACGCATGTCTACCAGTCAAGGGCACTTATCAACCAATAGAGGTCAGTTCAATGTTCGAACAAATCTACAATCATCTGTACCTGATGCTAGACAAAAATTGATGCAAAAAGCTAGGCTGACCGACGCTAGGGAAAGACTGAACCAAAAGGCTAAAAAAACTGATGCTAGGATGAAATTAATTGCTAAACGGAGTAAACAGCCTGACATCAATGTAGAAGAACAAGAAATACAAAGTGGACACATTGACATGACGGTAAGTAGAATGATTGAAACTGTTTAGATGACAATCGGCAGAAATCGTTTGATGCATTCTTACATGTCTACTCGGAGCATACCTGTTTTTCAAGGAACGTATGTCATGACAGAAAATCAATATACAGTCAAACCTGTGTTAACGACCACCTGTGCAGAGCGGCCACCTGCTCATAGTGACCACCTTAGTACAGTCCCTTCTCAATTTACACGTTAAAAACACTGGATATAGCGACCACCTGTCCAACGCGACCAGCGACCACCCTATTGTAGACCTATTCACACTTTAACCTTTGTATAACGAGCACTGACATTTCTATCAGACGGTCTCAGCAAAAAGACAATAGCTACTTGCGAATCGCTAACAGGAAAGTGGCCATCTGTTACGTTCAGATTATCGAGTACGCAATCTTTAGGGCTAATAGACAGGGGTGACCATCGCAACTTGGTTTGTGAAGTTGCGAAAAACTTGAATATCATCTGAATGTATCATCTGGAAACTGGAAAGATTTCAACAACAAATTAAAACAGTTTCATTCAAAGTTTGAAATGAAAAACTAGCTTGTTTCCGATCGGTACTATACTGTCGATTCCCAGCCGGCCAGCAGCACTTCTGTCTTCTATCTCGCACATGAAGAGCAAATTCCTCCTGTCTCGAAAACAAGAACAATGAACTAGTTTTATTAAATGAGACATGTTTTATTTACCTTGTCGTCATGAAATATCCAAACAAAATAATAAAACATTCGTTTATTTTGTTTTCATCGCAGGATTGCAAAATCCGACCTATTTTGGCCGCCATATTGTTTGTTGTTGATCGTTATAAATTATGCTAATGAAGCTAGCGCATGGACAAAACGTAATGTTACTGCGGGTTCATCTCAGGGTTATTCTCAACGAAAGATGTTTTCTATTTTGATCCTCTTTTTTTTTTTTTTTTTATAAACGGTAATATCAATAATTCGCAATCGAGAAAATTCGTTTCGTTTGGGCAGTTTTGCAAGTCGATGCTTGCAACAAATAATTGTAAAATTGTGTGTACGATCATCGTGTTTCATTTCCGGTTCGTTTGACTTTCTGATTCAACACCGAGAGTTGGAGCAATTGTTAAGAGTTTGGTAAATTTTGTTTATTACCAATGCTTCTTCATTTTTAATGCTTGTTTGTTTGTTTTTTGAACCACCGCAACTTTGCCTGTGCATTTTGTCACAGTGTACAATCGACAATATTAACGATGGGACTGATTACCGCTTGTGATGAAATATGTGTAAGACACTGGGGAATAAGACTGCATGGCGAGAGTGTGAAAGTCCGAGCTGAAACGCCAATGCGGCCGATCGTTGACAATCGTTCTTATGCTTTGAATACACCAATGAATCCATGGGCAGAATCACTTGGTTTCAGTGAATTTACATGATATAATTTGTAGTAAAAAAGTAAAGCTGTGTAATTATCCAGATGAAAATGAGTGACATTTATTAAAAAAGACCTATTCATTGTACAATGTGTAGGTTTGTTTTTATGTTTTGCTTATGATCTCCCTTAAAATTCCCGCCTAATTAATATTCATGATTGAATGAATAATTAAGCCACCTCCATATAAAGACCACCTGTCTATAAAGGACAGTTTGGCTCAGTCCAATGACTGTCCTTTATAGACAGGTTTGACTGTATCATCACTATATTGATAATATTATTTCATAATTTTCAAGTGATTGAGGGAGCTGTTTCAAACAAACCGTATAAACGCACAAGAGATAATCTCCTGTTAATTGTCGGGAGAAGCAATAGTTTGGGTCCAATTAAATGCTGCTGTGTAGCCAGTAATAGCTTGTGTCCTCCTCTAAATTTCTGCTGATGATGAACTTTATTTTACGTGGAGACAATATTATAATATACCACGAAACTATAAAAACTCTATGCACAGTGTCAATCCTTGTGTTATGATTATCTCTTTCTGTAGACTGGTACGCCAACAATAACCATATCAAATCCTGAAGCACCAACAGCCACACCTAAAGTAACAATTATGAATCCTAGAGCTCAGTTAATTACTCTTCACAATCCTAAAATTCATAATCCAAATATGGCTGCCTCAAGATTGAGTAACAAGGTGCAATCGACTAAGGGACAACTGAAAATTACAACTATCAACGAAATGGCAAAAAAAGTGAGTATATTAATCTTCTTAGTCCTAGTTTGAGTGAAGTAAAAAAAAGCCTGCATGTGTACCTATATCAGAGATGTACCTGAACTGATGTTACATTGTGTGACACATTTTGACATGCGTTTGTTTCAATTTTTAATTTAGTTTTGTTTGCACAGCAGAGACTTGTTTTGCATAAATTATATTTCTTGATTTTTATTTATCTTTATGCAGCACTTTTAATTCCAGTTAATAAACTTTAATATATTCTCCTATCATTAAACTAAATAATACTTGTCTTGAATTGACTATGGCCAGTCTGTAATACTGTTCTCATCCATCTTAGCGCCCAGGGTACTCACCTCCAAAATGTCATGTGTTTCAGGGGGTAGGCACTTGTCCAAGCACCCCCTTTGAAAATAAGTGTAAATGACAATTGTAGTTGAACACCATATGACAAAATTAAGAGAATATTACGTCTTCGGGGGAAAATAAAATTCCGAAATTTGTTGCATTGTCATTAATTTCAACAACACTTTTACAATGAAGAAAAAGAAATGGTCACAAAAAAAATGCAAATTTTATGCCAATATTAACTACGTACCACCAGAATTTACAAGGTTAATAATATTAGAGTCAAACAATAATCAAAGACAGGTTTTATGGTTAGGCAATCAAATTATGGCCATTTCAGGGGAATGGGCACTTAGTCGTTCTTGAATCTGAAAATATATATGTCCCAAAAGTTAGGGTGCGCACTTAGCCAAACATGGATGCTAAGCCGGTCGAGTACTGTACTTGTAACCTGAAACGCTTGTTCAGAGAAACAAAAAAATCGTTTTTTGTTGTGCACATTAGAGGAAAGCAGGACCTGTACGGCATATCCCAGTTTTGGGTAGAGTCAAGATGAACATGCAAGAAGAAGAGTTGGAAGATGAAGAAATGGAGGAGGAATATGAGTATGATATTGATGATGAAGAAGAAATTGAAGAAGAATTAGAAGAAGAGATGACACCTCCGCCACCACCAAAACTAACAAGAATATTGAAGAAGCCAGCAGCACCACCAAAACCTAAGGCCAATGAGGTCAGTAGTATTCCACAACTCGTGAAATTGTGACTCAACAAGGCGCATATGTATTTGTATTATTCAAAACATTGTTCTTGTTTAACTTATGTTATTATTTCTACAGTTTCTGCATGGTAGTGGTGTAAGTCCTTTACAAGGTGCTAGAATGACAATAACCAATCTTCACCCAAGTGTGTCTGGAGATGATATTGAGGTAATAGCTGGTTGTTTAATTGATGCGACTTCCTAGACAATATTAATAGTCGGTCTTTCTGGTGTTTACTACTAATTATCATATACCTTGTATTGCCTCGTAATGCTATTGCACCTTCACCCTAAGTGCACCCTCACATGAGAGCAATATTTTTCCATATCACACCCGGCCCCACGCACACAGTTTTCATCAATCAAAACAAAATGCGTCATTCTAAATTACGTTATGTGTTTGAGGTCACGGAAGGTATATGATACCCTCGGTCATAAAATTAACTGGTGAAGCTGTTACACTAAATATAGTATTTATGAAAATAAAGATAATGTACTTAACTTACAGGAATTATTTGGAGCTGTGGGTGCCTTGAAGAAAACACGTCTCTTAAGACCAGGTTCAGCTGAGGTGGTTTTTGTGAAACGAGAAGATGCTATGTCTGCATTTAAAACATACCATAACAGAGAATTGGATGGCCAGCCAATGCAGTGTAAATTAGATTCACTTGTTTCTCCCACGATGTCAACATCAGCATCAGCAGCACCATTAGCAACATCAGGACCATTACTGTCTTCGCTTCGGTAAGCTACAAATCTAATATTCTGTATTATTAATTTTATCAATGTCAGAAATTTTATGACTGCTAGATCACCTAAATAAATCAGTTTACAGATAAGAGTTTGCAAAATTCTATTGTCGTGAAACTGATTTTTTGGTAACTCTCTTTTTGTCCAAGTTTTTCTTAACTCTTTGCGTGTCATTGTCAACTTTTGACACTTTCGACAAAATTATTTTGTATAGTTTTCTTCTTCCCACATGGAATGTTTATAAGAATTGACAAATTTTTTGGTCAAAAACTAAAAGCAATATTTGAAACTGCTCGTATGGACCAAAATTATCATAGAATTTAGTGACAATTTCACAAAATGTGAAAATATTTGCATTGAATTGTGGGTGGGAAAAATATCTGGCAGTCAAAGGGTTAAAACTTTTTGAAATTTGACTGAAAATGGTTGCCTGGCAGTCTTTGTTGTTTGTAGAGTCAAGATGAACTGTCTTACTCAGTCACCCTATTATCATTACAAACCCATGATATCATTTCTCACTAGTATTCAGGAAATATTTATATAAATTTAAAATGACTTCTTCTTTTTTAACAGAAAGAAAGAATCGGCAGGGAGGAGAGAACCCCCACCTGAGGTAGACCCAACACTGATCACAAAAGCTTTGTTCAAAACCACTGGCAGTACACCAACCAGACCAGTCACATTTACTGTCAAGTTGTAACGTTTGTCACCTTCTGCAGTTGACATGTTATGTTTGTCGCCCTCTGCAGTTGACATGCTATGTTTGTCGCCCTCTACAGTTGACATGTTATGTTTGTCATTCTCAACAGTTGACATGTTGGATGTGAATTGTATACATGTACCACTGCCAATACCAAGTCACTTTTATGTCAAAAATATAGAGATAACAACAAGATTCACCAAATTCATATCTGATAATATCATTCTTGATTTCTCACTCTAAGCCAATTATTGGTTAGATCCATAGAGGTACAATTATCTATGTCAATTATATTGTATCCTGAGAGTGCAATGATGACATCATTCTTATGTCTGTCAATGAAGGCTAAGATAGCTTCCTATGTACAAACCATACTTGTCTTTAAAGGACAAGGAGCTGATGGTTTCAAACATTTTTTATAATGTAATACAGAGTCAAAATGATCATTTGGTACCAAATGAATACTAAGACCAGGAAAAAAAATTCTCTGTTTCTTGTTTCATGAAAACTTTAAAATGCCGATTTTTTTTTTTTTTATTATTACTGAGCTAAAATAGGAGGAATTTGAGACAAATGCGAGTACAAGCGCATTTTAGAATGCTTTAGAAGGAAAAAACGTCCAAGGCGCAATGATGCACGTGAAAACGAGAAACATTTTTTTTTTTCTCAGCCTAATAGGTTAAAGTGTTTTGGGGGGGGGGGGGTATACATATGATAACAGTACTTAGACTGCCGTGAGATTACCAGTAATGTGTGTTTGAACAAAAATGCATTTCTTGCTGCATACATGAATGTTTGCATAACTATAGTCTATGTGGCTTGCCATATAACTCTGTATTTTACTCATTTGAGCCATTAATATCTATTTTGTAACAGTTTTATATGGATTTAAAATATGTCATAGAAAGCAGATTAACACTTGCTAATACATAGTTGTGTTCTCTTTGATAATCAAACTCAGATCCAGGCATACTCTCGCCATATACAAGTATAAAATTTTCATTAAAAAAAAAATTGTTTTATGCCACATTTATTCGCTGGATTGATAATTATAATAGAAAACAAAGGGTAAATAGTGTCACAACATAAACAGTTGTCACATGACTCCCTGGTGCAATTCCAGGGATTGGCAGCGTCCCCTTTGAATAGTAGCATACTGTAAAACATGTTGAAAAAGCGGCATGCAATTTTAGCTAGTTGTGGTAAAATGACGTAATAGCAAAATGTTGATTTAGCGAATCTCTCTTGTCATTGTTGATTTCTTTGTTTGGTGACCATTTTGAATTTATAATAAAGTCATTAGCGACATCTTTAATTGGCGAATCAGTTCTCTTGCTAAATTCGCAAAAAAGACATGCTCGTGAAAAAGACATGTTTTACAGTACTTATTGACTTTATTGCTAGTTAGTCTGTCATGTTTGTCTTAGTTTCCATCCTGGATGATTACCATAACTGTATTTCCTATAATATCTTAGTCAGGAACAATGGTTGCTGGTAGTGACTCTTAATGCTGTTTTTGCAATCAGCTCTCACCTCAAAAAAAACAAAACAAATCATTTGTTGTGAACTTAAAAAAACTTAAAAAATATGCATTTTTCATTAACGCTTCTGATTTTGCTAGTTACCGTTTATACTTATAAAAATACACATATCATTACCACTAATTATGAAAGTAGATGCATAAAAAATGTGTTTTAAGTTTTTTGCTTTTTTATCCACATTTTATATATATAACATTCTGTGCTTGAATATCAAAGTACTCTACAGTAAAACTAATACAATATAGCTGATACTCCTTTTCTGTCTACATTAAAAATCTACACAGATTTTTGTTTTGTTTTGATTTTTAAGCATTGATTTGTACATTTATAGGTTTGCACATTTATGTTAGTAAAGTGATTATCAATCCTTTTATGAAGTATTCATATCTTCTACACCATTTTCAAAGCCGCCTACTTTTTTTTCCTCTGAAATCTTATGGTCAGTTCAACTGATTGTCAGTATTCCAGTGAATCTACCACAGACTAACATTGATTACACATTTCGTAAATGTTGATATTTTAAATATATTACCTTTTAGTCAAACATGCATGCTGCTTGGTTCCAATGTATAAAACTCACAGGGGAGACCACTGATCTAATCACTTGTATCTAATCCATTGATAAATAAAGAACTGCTGCTCTTTAATTTAAAGTTTGATACACAAGTACATTAGATATGATTTGTAGATGACCTTTGTGGGGGTTTTCCCAAATCATGCATATATGGCTAGTATTTGGTTATTTTTTCTGTAAAGTACATATATTGGACATTATGGGTTCTTCATGCAAGTCGTATCATTTTGCTGATTGGTTTCAATAACAGCTCTTTCTCTGATGTATTTTGATCGATCACATTCAAATATCACACAAACTTGGGATACATATTCCTGCATTGGCTTTGTGTTTCGATTCAAAATCAAGCATTTCATTGCAGAACCTTATTCACTTGTAATAAAACAAATTCAGTATAAGTGATTATGGGTTGTGTGGCAGGGGATTTTTTTGTAATAATAATAAAAGTTGTTTTTCAGTCATGTTTTTTACTCTAGTAACATTTTGTTTTAAACTTAAACGTGTATACTTCTTCTAAAGAATAATTACCACCCTTTCATTTTGAATATAAAAATCTACGCATATCGATGTCAGATTGCTTTCAGATTATTTTCTGTGTTATGAAGGGATTCTGTACATAACTTATCGGTATGTCATACTTATTTCATAGTCCTTTAGACATGGCATTATTCTGCTCTATTATTTTGTCTCAAAATAAATAGATGTTTATATCATACTTTTTACATCAATAGACTGTTGTTGTGTACTTGTGTAAGAATGAATGGATCGTATTTAACCCAACCCACTGAGCAACATATTACTTTACAAAGTTTACAAATTCATTTAATAATTTGTTAAAAAGTAAACTAACAGGAAACAAGGCCCTTCTCTTTTAAAAGGTAACCTGTTATACATTTTTACATGCAAATGATATCCACTTAGAATCATCAGTGTCATTCATGCAATGATGTTGATTTGCATTGATTTGCCACTCATTGCCTTTGTGAGTGAAGAGACCATGCCCAGTAGTGACGTTCACCACCAGGGAGCAGCTGATGCTCAAAATTGGCCACCACTATCAAAATTTGGCCAAAATTAAAACCAGATATGTCAAGTGCAACATGATTCTTCATCAGGCTGTCAACTTCCTCATGTAAATTTCTCAGTTTCGGAATGACGATTCAGAGTGACTTGCTTTGAATAAAGGCAACAATACAACACAAAATAAAGAAAACGCCAGGCTCCATCACTACTATGCAAGGTTTTGAACACCTACCGGTAATCCCAGTCCAAGCTCATAGCCTTCATCTCTACCCAATACAGCACTATTTTCAGTTACAGAGACTATGAGAGAGAGAGTCTTTAATGTCAAGTCAATATACAAGGGCATAACCGGACATATTACATGCCTTGCCATAGTCACCTACTACCCCTGGTCATATTCTGACTGTGTGAAAACAGCCTTGAATGCTGACTTGTCATTACCAGTACTACTGGCATTATCTGGTGACAATGACATCTTCGTTAAGACTCGCGTATGGATGGAGATGCTGTCATGACTAGTTGCTGAGATCGCTCACACGGTCAAAGCTGCCACGTAAGTACCATGTTTCTATGCTAATAGAAAAGGCAGAACAGATTTCATACTGCACCTGGTCTACTGTACACTGCTGTTAGTACACATCGTGTACTTAAAGGGCCGTTTGGAGAAAACAATACCCAGTATACTAACTAACAATACAGGGAAACTACACTTAGGGTGCCATTGGCCACAAGTGAAGTGCTAATCAAAACTATGCACAACACGTGTCTTTTGGAGTGTACTCAATGGCCGGTTTCTAGTCGGCAGAGGTCCTTGTCACAGTCAATGATGCATTCAGAAATAAAATTATTAGTCTATAAATTATTCAGTCTTCCACACATCTCAATCGTTGATTAAGGTATGGATTATTATTATCGTTCTTTGGGAAATTGAACCAACCAACATCTGGTTTACCCAGAGATCAAAATAGACACTCGTCGCAGGTTTCGTTCTTTGTAACACAATCATGAAAGTGTGCTTCAAAAACAATAACCACACTGTTATATCTGCCCTATGTGCCACAATTCATTATGTGTGTGTGCTTATAGATTTTCAACAACTAGAAGCCAAACCCAGCGAAGTGGAATTATTCAGCAAATGTTACCACGACATTGTTGGCATGAAATAACCTACAGTTGTATTTATCATTAACTTAAGATGACATCATATGCTATTAATAATGTTAACCGTATTTAAGTATTTACTATATTTAAAGGGCGTGGTCGTCGTGCAGCACGTGTTCGAATTTCATGTAAATAAACAATGTATTTTACACGCGTTGTATACGTCGCTAAGAGTCCCATATCGAACAGGACGCGGCGTGACGACTACCGCCCTTTAACATTGGTTTAATCTCAGACTAGTAATACAAGTATGTATTACTAGTCTGAGGTTTAATGTTATTAACAAAATGAGACATTCCAATGCGTTGTATAATGTAACTTCCAATGAACTGAAGCTATGTGTTAATTGTATGAACGTGTGATAATCACCGAGAACGGAGTCTCCCTAATAATAAATGCAGAGAATGCATCTCTGTTACCATGATAGCATTTTCATAACAAATCTTACAAAAGTTGACGCTATAAGAAATATATAGCGCCCCCAACAGTTGAGTATTATAATAGTGGAATCTGAGGGACGGACCATTATTTTGTAAATGCTGTCACGTCAACGTTGAGTTCAGCAGAAGTGTTCGCTGGTATGCCGGGCCATTGATGCAAGAGCTACTGAAATTTGAAACTTCAAAAACTAAATTTAAATCACAACACTTTAACGTTAGATAAATGTGTATCATGCCGTAGACCTCTGACCAAGACTATTTGTTATGATCAGTCTGAGGCGAAAACGTTTAGTGTAAGTTAAACGAAATAGAAATTTGTACTGGAGGTCTGTTCCAAATTAGCCTGGTTCCTTGGGCTTTCTTCACAATAGATCCCATAAAACAATAGGAGGGTAACCACGCTAGTTGCTCGGTGGATGCCGTGATTAATAAACCTGAAATTGTATACTAAACAGTCACGTGATTGCACGCGTTTATCTTGACGGTGTAGCATATTACCTGACGTGATGCACTTCCTTTATGTGTTACGGATTTGTGTTTATGAGCCACGGTATATTTTAAACCGTAGACAAATAATATTCCATAGGTACGTAGTAGAATCAATCAATTATGTATTGCCACGAAAATCTACAAATAAAGTGTTGTCAAAATTGTTTTACTGGTCTTTAGTCATTATTTGATTTACCTGCATATGGATATTGTTTTCTGCTTCATGAAAGACACTGGATTATGATCTATTGTAAACTAAAATTGTAATTTTGTTTGCAAAATATATAAAAATATCTGTCGATTTAATAGTACGTACCAGTAATTACAAACGCATTTGCATTTGTGTTTTAAAATATTTCACCAAGAAAAATCGTTTGTAGACGACCAAAGTAACTTTGTTTAGGGCCGCGTGATTCACGTCATTTTTCATATATTTAGTGCCGTGTTATTCTGAATAAAAAAAAATGTAGCATCAAATGGTGATGAAAAAAATATTTGTCACTGTCCAGGTGTGTTATATTCTTAGCATGAACATCCCAACATGTTCCCCTCATGTGTAGTATCACAAAGTTAATTTGAAAAAAATACTATAAAAAGAAATCGTACCAGGTGCAATATCGAATACAAATACACATAAAAAGTTGTCCATCTTGTCTCTTAAAACTGAGTCAAAAATCTCTCTGTAATGTTTAGAAAGTGTGTTTCAATGAACTACAGGTAGTTCTTGGGATAGATCATCACAATTTTCCATAAT